TGGATGGATGTTCATTTATGTACAGAAATTGTCACTGTTTTATTTGAAGATTTCACAAGAGGACCCAGTATAAGACAGAACAGGGACTGACAGGAAAAACAAGAACTTTTGATAAACGTGGAGCAGCAGGAGTCTAAAACTCTGACAAAATCAACAAAAGGAGAGAACAAGAGAAAGTCTGGAACATGAGGGAGTCGAGATCATGTGATGATTTGACAAAGACTCACACTTTATACACACGAGGCACATGTGAACTCAGTCAAAAATAAAGAAAGCCACACGAGGAACTAACCTTCAGAATTTAACAGCAAATAAACTGGAAAAATTACTTTAATGTTATTTGCTCATCCATTTTTAATCTTTCTTATCTCACCGCAGACATTCATGTTTGCCTGCCCAGCCAGTTCAAATGTTCCCACCCCAGCCGCTGCATTCCAGGCATCTTCCGCTGTAACGGCCAGGTCAACTGTGGAGAAGGCGAGGATGAGAAGGACTGCCGTGAGTATACCTACGTTTTCAGGGGTTTTTCCCCTTCTTCTCTCTTTTACTCCACACTTACTGCAAACCTGTTATTCCCCCCCATCTCCACCCCACAGCTGAAGTCACATGTGCACCCACCCAGTTCCAGTGTGCCATCACCAAACGCTGCATACCTCGTGTCTGGGTGTGCGACCGTGACAACGATTGTGTGGACGGATCAGACGAGCCCGCCAACTGCAGTACGACTCGCACTTTACTCTGCATGCTGTTTATTCTGAGTCATCCTAATTAGCTTTAAGTGTAACTGCCCCACATATGTTTCCCTTTGCAGCCCAGATGACCTGTGGTGTGGACGAGTTCCGATGCAAAGACTCTGGCCGCTGCATTCCCGCTCGCTGGAAGTGTGACGGCGAGGATGACTGCGGCGATGCGTCAGATGAACCGAAAGAGGAGTGTGGTAAATATTGTGTTTTCTTTTTTAAGTAAAAATCTGTTTTTGATTTCATTGGCAATAATAATTTTGCGTGTTGGACAGCTGAGAGGACGTGTGAGCCATACCAGTTCAGATGTAAGAACAACCGCTGTGTGCCGGGCCGCTGGCAGTGCGACTATGACAATGACTGCGGGGACAACTCCGATGAAGACAACTGCAGTAAGTATCACTCTGAGCTCGGAAACAGTCCCTCCATATGTCATTTGACCTTGTCCACTGCCATTTACACTCATGCCCGTGTCTGTTTCACTGGTAACAGTCACTTTGCACCTTTTTAACTCTTAACTGCTACAGCGTTTGTTTGGTGCTAATTCATTGCCCATTTCTCATCTGATTATTTGTTTCATTTCATACTGTCCTGTTGGCATGAGCCAGAGGTAAGTTACTTCATCTCCATAAGAGAACCACTCCCATTTTGAGCACCTCTCTGTATCTGTTATTAAATAGTGTCTTCATCCACCGTCCCTCTGACCTGTGAGAGTCTGCAAGCTGAGCTCTGCACAGACTTCATAATTGGCTATCGCCAAAAACAGCAGTTATAAAACCAGTTACATTGACAATAATTTGTAATAAAACAGCTCCTTTCACTCTCTCACATTAGTGTCTATAGTCATCCTCATGTAATTGTTACACTCTTTGTCTTGTGCTGAAGGGTAAAACGGCCGTAGCTCGCCGCAACTGTGCTCATGTTGTCAGTGACACAAGCCTTGTGTTCCTCTGTAGTGCCTCGCCAGTGTTCAGAAAGCGAGTTTGCCTGCACCAACGGCCGTTGCATTGCTGGGAGGTGGAAGTGCGATGGAGACCACGACTGTGCGGACGGATCTGACGAGGTTGGATCTGTTGAAATTGTTTGGAAAAGAAAAAAAATCCTTTTTGCACTTCCTGTTATGTCTGTGTTTACGATGGACTGTGATGTTTCTTTAGCACGGCTGTGATCTGAAGTGTGACCAGGACCAGTTCTCATGTAAGAATGGACACTGTATTCCGATCCGCTGGCGGTGCGATGCTGATCCTGACTGCATGGACGGCAGCGATGAGGAAAACTGTGGCAGTGCTGGTAAGCATATTTCTGTGGGCGTGTCATTTTAAGAGAAAAGTAGATCCCAGATGCCTTAAAGCTGACTCCCAACAAACGAGCTTGTATCAGGTTTTACACGAGCACACACCGGTAGTAAACATCATTCTTCCTGCAGCTGGCCGTCACTGCCCTCTGGATGAGTTCCAGTGTAACAACACTCTGTGCAAGCCGCTCGCCTGGAAGTGTGACGGAGAGGACGACTGTGGGGACAACTCTGACGAGAAACCCGATGAATGCAGTGAGTTTTGCCGTCTTGCTGATCAAAATCATGTTGAATTCCTATTGCATTTTTTTTCCTTCTCACCTATTTGTCTTTCCTCTTCCCTTCTCTTTCCGTTCAACTCTTAGGGAAGTTCCAGTGTCCGCCGACAAGAGCGTTCCGCTGCCAAAACGACCGCGTGTGTCTGCAAGTGTCAAGGAGGTGTGACGGCGTTAATAATTGTGGAGACAACAGCGATGAACTGAATTGCCGTGAGTTAGGAAGTTGTTCTGGTTATAAAATCTCCTACTTCCTCATCTTTGACTGAGGAGATGCTGACTTATGTCTGCGTTTTTGTCAACAGAGGCTCCAACTGTTCCCACGTGTGAGAAAGACGAGTTCTTGTGCTCCAATGGCAGATGCATCAGCTCCAATATGCGCTGCAACTTCTTTAATGATTGCGAAGACTATGGCTCTGATGAGATCAACTGCAAAACAGGTAGATCTTCACTCACCTGCATAACTGACCATGGACCTAAGGTCTGAAAGTTTTACCCTTTAAATCCACAGGCTTATCTTTCCCTTGTGTTTTTTGTCCTATAGACACAAAGCTAAACGACTGTCGGAGTAACACAACTCAGTGTGGTGATGGAGATGAGGCGCACTGTGTCACCAATGGCACAGACTCCTTCTGCTCCTGCAAACCAGGCTTCCAAAAGATAGGACACCACACCTGCGGAGGTACGCACGCACAAAGTGCATCATGACAGCTCTTAACCCTCAATGTAGAGGCTGAGAGCTGCGCAATATTTATACATTTCATGTGTCTTTCTTTTTCTTTTGGGTCTCATATTTTTAAGATAAGAACGAGTGTCTGCAGTTTGGAGTCTGTTCCCACATCTGCAATAACACCAAAGGCTCCTACAAATGCAGCTGCCACAAGTACTTCACCAGGATAAATGACACCTGCAAGGCTGACAGTAAATGCGCTGCTTATTTTATTAATTTTTGTAATAATTGTTCACTTCAAGGTGAGCGTCACTGCAACGTTTTCTCTCTCTTTCCTTCCAGACATGAACAGCAGTCGGCAGATTCTATACATCGCTGACGACAATGAAATCCGAAGCCTCGACCCCGGCATGCCCAACTGGCGCTATGAGCAGACCTTCCAGGGCGATGCCAGTGTGCGCATTGATGCGATGGACCTGCACGTCAAGACCAACCGCATCTTCTGGACCAACTGGCACACGGGGCGCATCTCCTCCTACGAGCTTCCAGGATCATCCTCATCGTCATCTTCTAGCATCAACAACCTGCAGGTAATGCCGGTCAAATAATGCAAAATCTCTAGAGCACCAATATACACGCCATCATTCAAACACCTCAACTTTGTGCTTTTATCCAGATCAAAGACCTGAAGATGCCCCGTGGTATTGCTGTGGACTGGGTGGCTGGTAACCTGTACTGGACTGACTCCGGCCGAGATGTAATTGAAGTGGCTCAGTTGTCAGGCCAGCATTCCAAGACCCTCATCTACGGCATGATAGACGAGCCTTATGCCATTGTAGTGAATCCACAGAGAGGGTAAATGGATCATTCTTGTTTTCTGTTGTCTTA